CTCTCATTTTCACTCTGTGTTCATAAGTGCAGAGGGCACAAAAAGTTCATTAATATGGTTTCAGATTCCACATTGAGACTAGCCTTTAAGAAGCTAATACTTGTCAAGCTTCAGGGTAATATCAAAGAAAAAATATACATCACTAAAATGAAAAAAAACTGTAAGACCGTATTGCTTTATACATTTCAGCTAAAACGTCATATAACAACAGATCTGCTGCCACTCTTCTTATTTACATTTTCTTGTGCTGGGGAAATATAATTTAGTGTCATAAAATATGTTCTTATGTTATTTGTAACAAGCTTATTATTGAAATTCAAATAAATTAACAAATAAATATACTTTTCAGTTTTAATTGCTAATATGACAAATATTTGTACATATTAGCCACATAAATGAAGCTCTTTTATTTGGAGTCTTTGATAATTTTAAAGGATAGATGGATTCCCAGAATAAAAATGTTTCAGAACTCTAGCTCTAAGTGAATTAAATCTGATCTGAAAATAAAAATACAATGTATTTTGATTGCCATTAAAAGCACTTTTCCTAAAATAAGCTTTAGGAAACTAAAAGAGGGAACTAGAGAGAAGACAAAGAATCCCTTTATGACCTGGTCCAATTGGCACATTTTTCTCATTTTAAGTGACATTTAACTTTCATGGCTGTCAGATATAGCAAAATGTCAGTTCAATTGTGCATAGTTACATATAACTATTTGGTTCCTTAAATCAAGAGCTTGTAATGAAATTTTGAAATATTATTACCTGTTAATACAACAGTGACAGTGACTAAGTTCCAAACAGAAAACACAATGAAAGAATGATCTCCAATTCAAGTATGACAATTTTTTTTCTAGTAAGTGGAAGAAAGCATGGTGAATCAACAAGTAAACTATGAGCTGTTTTGCTCCTAATACATGTATGTGCATTGTAATGTCATATCTGAATTGTACCTAAAAACTTTTAAATGACACGCATGCACACACTATACACTCAAATGCTATATAAAAATCAAAACTGATGTCATTGTTATCTAACTGAACAAGAATTAATACTATTGAGTTACAAAACACATATGCTACTTGCTTTTCAGTTACTGGGCTACCAAAGGATATTCAAACAATTATGCAAGAAACTCTGCTATGTAAAAGCTACAACACCTCTTTATCTCATTATCATTTAAATGCTAAATCCTCTATTATCGAGGTAAATTGGGTTTAAAATAGAATGTTTTAAGCAGAGGAGCAAAAAATAAGGTTAAACAGAGTAAGGAAACTGAGCTTCAATTCGTGGTATAAAGCTTGCTAGGATGTGGATTGATCTTTGGATATACTAAAAATGCCAGAGCCTCTGACATGCCCTACAGAGTAAATAGACTGATCTGGAACAAAAATTATGTGAAACAGCTGGTAAGTGACAGAAGAAATGCGCATTGGACCACCAGTCTGTCATAAATTGCACTTTTAATCAGAAAGCATCTGTCTTTTCATTTCCTTTTCAGCAATCTCTGCATTGTATTTACTCTGCACAGAATGCCTCTCCTAACAGGTGCAACGATGTTTACAAATTGAAAACCTCATTTAAATGAAGCGTACAACTAGAGACATTTCAATTAACAGGGCAATATTTTATGTGAAGAAATAATTCTAACATTTGGCCAATTCACAGATAGCTTTGCATTTGTGAAATTTAATTACTGAAAAATTAGAGTACAGACACCAAGAAAAGCTGTAAGTGAAAGTTGCTTCAAGCAATCTTATGCAATATTAGCATCTAGAGAAGCTATAGGGAAACGGTATTGGTGAGAAAATGGCCAGCATGAGATATTTGGAATAGAGATGATAAAATGTCATACTTAATCAAAAAATAATTTTAGAATAATGTCACAAATGTCCATAAAAACTAACTGTTATGGCACTAGTTTATTTTCCTACAGTTAAATATTATTTTCTATTATCCTTATTCACTTTTTGAAATTGAATCTAACAGAGTCGTAATCAATTTTGCCAGATTAAAAACAAATGGCAGAACTACTAAGGTTTGCATTATAATCACCCGAATATACTTCCAATAGATAATTTCTCAAAAACCTAAGAATAATCATAAAATTATTTCACTTAGGACAAATATATAATTATTAAAGTGAAAGGAACTATAGAATTATCCATTTCAATTATTTACTCAACATGAATGTAGACATGATGAATCCAGTTCTACAGGGTAAAGACAGGCAATCTAGGGAATACAAGTCTGGTAGAACATGCAGTCCTTTAGGTTGATCATTCATGTCCTAATTTTTGAGAGAAATAGATGTTGAAGAAATACCATTCTTAATTGCTCTCCAGGAAAAACAATATGGTAGATTATTTAATAAAGAGCATGGGAAGCTAGTGAGGAATACACAATTTAGCCAATTGTGTCCATGGAAAAAAGAACCCAGTGTTTCCAGAAATCCAAGTTTTTGATAAAGCGCAGAGCAAGTAAAATATATCTGCAGATGGGATCATGCCCTTGGGCTGCCAATTTACAACCTTTAGTGTAATGCTAGAGGACATGAGCTTGCTGTTAAACAGATCCAAGGTAAACTTCTGTCTTGGCCATTTATTAGTTTTATGACCTTGGATAAGCTTGTAGACATTAAGCTTCACTTCACCCACAACAACCAAGAACATAGTGTTAATAATAATAGCTCTTTCACAGGGATACTGTAAGTATGAATGATACGAGGTAAAAATACAGCACAGTAAGTACTCAATAGGTGGAAGAGATTATTTTAAATATTATTATATATGTAACATATATAATACATAAATATTACATGCATTTTTAAATCTAATTTAAAATTTATGAAAAAACTCTACTTTTCTTATACACTTTACTAATTAACATAAGGTAATTCTTTATATCATGAATAAGGCCTTTAAATGTTCACAACTCTTCTTCATATACAGAAATATTTACTATAAGATAACACAGAAAGCAAACGTTAGCTGTTCTTTGGAAAGTTCACCACACAAAATTAACTCATCTTGGGCATTCATATTTTGTAAAGGACAAATACATTTTTAAAAATGTTCCACGCTAAAGCAATATAAACAAGGTCATTTGTTATAATATAAAGCATCAAGGATTCTCTTGTAATTGCTTACTAGAGACAAATATAATAAAAAATGATTTTGATGGGGGGAGTTAGACAGGCTGGGCATAATTTGAAAAGCCAATTGGCTTCTTTAGGCTAAGCTAGAAGATCGACTTTGGTCTCAGGGGTTGCAGGGACGATAGTCCCTTCCTAGAACTTCACCGCTCCTGGTTTCCAAATCTCAGATCCCCCTGCTGCTCCTAATCAAATGCCACCTCTTCTGCTTTAGAAGCTTGTTTTCCTTAACAATTAATAAGATCTTCCCTCCTCATAATGCATTCTCATCTAAAATGTTTAGAAATACCCCCACTAATTGTTAGACCCACAATCAGACAATAATAATTACAATGACAGCTATAGCTAGGGTGGATAGAGGCCTAATGACATGCTCGATGTTAGCTAAGCCCTTTACATGCACAGTATCACTTATCTTTATCATGGCTCTAGGAAGTACATTCCATAAATGTATCATGGTTCCTCATTTCTAAAGTAATTCTGGATGAAGTTAAATCATTCGTCTGCTAAGTATCAGAATCAAGAGTCAACTGTTAGTCCCATTCTTAAGGTTATACTGTACTGATTCTCGAAATTCTTGGCTTAAAACTCAACCAAGATGAATGAGACCTGTAAGGAATAAAAACCAGCATTCAATGCATTGACGTGACGAAAGTTGGAAGGGCTCAGATGTGGAAATGATAAAGGATGTTACCAAATATCAAGTAGAAAAAGAAAAAATAAATTAATTTCTTAAAACACCAATTTCATGAAAGTATACACAGTGGACTTGCATCTCTACACATGTATCTCATTTCCAAACAATACCTTATGAAAATCCAAGTGTAAAAAACTGATAAATTACATGATTATTTTTACATCACCTAAGAATATACCTCACTGCAGTAGGACTCACCCAGAGTTTCTCCCTCTATAAATTTAAGATGTTAGTGATCATTAGCTGTTTATAGAGGAGCTAAGGTGTACACAGGCAGTGGGGATCTGGTATAGAGAAACATAAAACTAAGTATTGCTCAAAGCTATCAGAAATTAAGATATTAAAAATAAGAAGTTGAGCTTATAAAATATGACTTAAGTACAACTTTTCAAGGACATGTATGATTGAAGAACAAAGCAAGTTTTCCTCTATTTTCCAGCCACCATTTTGTTAATATAAAAATTAGTTCAAGCAGACCACCCTGGATGCTGGTTAAAGAGCTTCCTGAAAGGTATGCACAGTTTGGTAAAAGAAGGTAGAATATTTCAACTGGTTTATATCTACAGAGAAAGGGTTTCCTCTCACATAATTCTGAGAAAGATTAAAATGCTTGAAGTTCAGTAAATGGATAAACACTGACATAAGGTAAATCATGCGTATGTGATATACTTTAGGAGCAGGAACCTCCTATCTTCACAGAAAATGTATAGTTTTAGGAAGGCCAATCATTGACAAACGCTGGGTAGCTAATCCATAGGACACATTAATATACAGCATATGAAATGCATTTTCCTTTGGGCAGGGAGAGGAGAATCTATGGCACATGTCACCTGTTTCCGTGAATACAGAAGATGACAACTATGTTTTAATGATAAAGCAATGACTGCAAATTTTTTGTTTCAAAGCACACAGTGAAAATGTGAGTGACAGTATAAATCTTTTTAAATTGAATTCAACACTATTGAAAAGAGCTGATGTTTTCAAATACTGTTACGAAGCCCCTGAATAACAAAAATAACTCTGTAAATGAACCAGCTTCCTACAGTGACTTTTTGATTAAAAAGACAAATAGCCAGGATAAAATCAAATTCTGCATGTCTGGACTTTGTGTGTGTGGGCGGAGGGGGGTTGAATTTTCAGAAACAATCACCTGTACTGCCTTGGTGTCCTCATACACAAACTGCACAGTGGGAACTCCAAGGTAGTTGATGAAATAATCCGCGTCACCTTGTATCTGTACAGAACTGACATTGGTTTCCAGGCACTGAGCTCTTCTGGAACAGTTGAGTTTATTTTTCTGAAAAACATAATTTCAATTGTTAGCACAAACTAAGCTTCTCGGGGCATTCCTAAATCAATGCCACTTAAAATGTGGTCCGTAGCTCAGCTGCATCGATGTCACCCAGGAACTTACTGAAAATACAATGCTCAGGCTCCACCCAAGCCCACCTGATGGGAACCTTCTGCGATGGAGCCCAGGGACCTGTGTTGCCACACTCCCCTACGATTCTGGATTCTGATGCTCCCTGAAATGTGACTAGTGCTGATAACTGCTTGCTTTTGTTGCTTCAAAAGCATTTTTATCATGTCATTATTATGAACTGTAATAACTCCAATTTTAAAAAGACTTTATCTATTTATTTTTAGAGAGATGGGAAAGGAGGGTGAAAAAAAGAGAGGTAAATATCAATTGGTTTCCTCTCGTTAGTTCCCTGAGCAGGGACCAAAAACACACAACCCAGGCATGTGGCCTGATAGAGAATCTAACCGGTGACCTTGTGCTCTGAGGAATGATGCCCAACCATCTGAGCCACACTGGTCAGGGTTAAACTTAAATTTAAAATATTTTTAAAGTATGTGAGTCCTTTAAAAAGGTTTATTTTTAGTGAGTCTTTTTAAGTTTTTTTTTTTTAGTTTTTCCATAAATTTATAGGACGGATTAGTAGGATATAACTCCATTATTCTAATTTTTTTTTAAACGCAGAAAATATTTTTTACATTTTGTCTTTTTTTAAAGATTTTATTTATTTATCTTTAGAGGAGAAGGGAAGGAGAGAGGGAGAGAAACATCAGTGTATGGTTGCCTCTCATGCGTCCCCTGCTGGGAACTGGCCTGCAACCCAGACATGTGCCCTGACTGGGAATCTAATCGTGGTTGCTTGATTCCCAGGCCCGCGCTCAATCCACTGAGCTACACCAGCCAGGGCAACATTTTGTCTTAAAAGCACATTCTCACATGTTTGAAGAATATATGCCAACTCTGTGAGCCATCAAGAACCACATACCTAAGTGCAAACTCTGGGGAAGTATAAGGAGGTAGACTATTATTTCTTAAACTAAGAGTTGCATGCAAAACAAATGACAGTAGTTTTATAAAAATAGAAACATCATAAAAACAAAAAGCAATTAAGTGCTTCTATAATTAATGTTGACTAAAATACATTCCTTAATAAAATTTCCAAGAATTTAGAATTTTAAAAAAGATTTGATTCATTTACCTTTAGAGGGGGAGGGAAGGAGATAGGGAGAGAAACATCAATGTGTGGTTGCCTCTCATGCACCCCCTGCTGGGAACTGGCCTGCAACCCAGGCATGTGCCCTCACTAGGAATCAAACTGCGATAGTTTGGTTCACAGGCCCACACTCAATTGACTGAGCTACACAAGCCAGGGCCAAAAATCTAGAATTTTAGAGATGGTGCTGTCTTACGTATGAAACAGAGAAGAATACCAATCACCTCAGCATTATCACAAGGGGGGTGAGCAATAACACGAGAACACCACGTGTAATAGGCAGAAAGTACAGGGTAGAGAAAAAGGTGGTTTACAGTTGTGAGTATGCAGAACATAGAGTTTATTCTTATATTATTATGTATTAATTATTGTATTATTTTCCACACAAACAACTCTAAACCTATGTTTGTCCCACCCTATATGTATTCTCAGTATACATTTGTCACTAAATCAAAAGCCAATGGATTCTTCAACCCTCCCTAACCACTATGCTTCTGTGGCAAAATACAATTTTAAAAGTTGTTTTAAATATAACCTATAGAAAGATATAAAAACATGCAGTTTAATATTCATAAAATAAATTATTCCAACTTTTTCAAGTACAGTGCTAGAGTTTTCAAGTATATAATAATGTTTTGACACCTATCCAATTTTCTTTGAAGGCCTCATAAAAAGGATCTTTGCAACAAAGTTGAAATCAATTAAAATGGAGAGCCTGTGTGAGTGTTTATTAACAGGGCAAGGTTTCTGCTCAATGTTATTTACAAATATCTTGGGTAATTAAGCACTTTGCAAATACAATGGAAAGTGAAAAGAGTGTTCTACCACACAGTCTAATCAGTAGCAACCTAATGCTTTTTACGATTACTCCCACCAGCTTGCATCTTCCAAAAGCCCAGTTTTCTGAAAAGAGAGTTAATCTTTCACCTTCTGATATACGCCTGTGGTTTTAAATACTTCTGGAGATTTCACACCTAGAACAGTTTCGGCAGAGTATTGACTATTTCCAAAGAAGAGCTACCCTTAAGTAGTAAATAATGAAAACCGAAGAAATTACTTTATATCACATAATAATTACCAAGAAGTCCCGAGAGAACCAGGTGTTACAAACTGGCACCTGTGAAGGTATTGCTTTAGCCAGAATCTACATTAATTTGAATGTCCTGGTCAGGCAAGGAACTGACCAATGTCCCATCACTAGGGTCACACGCTCAGCCTGTTTCAGATCATCTGCAGAGGCACTTGAATTTCTGAACCCTAAACACTTGCACTCTTACACGTTGTTAATGAAGATTTCATAGAATCTGGTCTTTTCTTTCCCCAAATGCCTAACCAATGAAATGAAAAACATTTAAGTGATCCACTTTGCCTTCACTGCAGCCGTATCTATGTCTTCTTGAGAAATTGTATGTATTCTACTCAACCTCAATAAAAATGTACATTTGGCTTTACTCTCATTTTGCATGTATAATTCTTAATATTCACTATAAATGTCAGCCACATTTCTTACCCAGCATTTTTTTCTCAACAAAAAAAATGGCATGGGTCAAAATGGGTGATTCTAAATTCTACAATAAGTTTATGTGGATGAATTAAATGAAAAATACATAAGTATTATTTATATATAAATAAATAAAATATCTGATACTATTTTCATTCAGTCATTGCTATTATATAATAGCTTCCTTCTAACAAAAAGTACTAGTTTTTCATACATGCAAGTTCCTGACAAGGCACAGATGATCTCATTCCAATCAATGCTTGATTTCTTTGATGCAATAGTTACACAAAGATGAGTTCTCATTTGGCCTCAGCTTTGTATTGATTCAGGATATTCTATCTGAAGGCAGTACAATTCTCTTCTATTCTCTCTGTGCCTGCCATGGTGCTCCCAACATACAGCTTTAATATTTTCACTGCAGTCTGTGATCTCTTACGCATTAATGTAATGATTACTGCATCATTTCTTTCCATGTTTTCTGCTTTTCAAGCAAACCACAAGGGCAATCCTAAAAGTTGGATTACATACCTCATTTATTGAAAAGTCTATCTTTTTTCTAAAGGTTTGTATTGACAGCTTGTTCGTATATAAATTCCTTTTGCAAACCGACTAAGATAGCAACAGAGTGAACATTATCTAGAATTGTTTTCAAATTATATTTTGAAGGTTAGAGCTGTTGAACCACATCTATGGTGCTACATATGGCTTACATACAGAGAGAGGAAGAGTGTAGGACAACAGGGTTGTGTGGCCCCCGGGATAGCTGGGCCTGGAGCTGGAAACCCTTGGGTCCTTGAGCCTTATGTCAGAGTTAAGCCCACATGAAGGGTACAGACTTCAAGAAAATCAATTCAACGCTGGAGGCTTCAGGAACAACACAGACCTCCCTGAAAAGTCTTCCTGGGGCCTGTTCCTTACCTACTGAGGCCTGAGTGTGTCTGTAAATTCCTGCTAAGGACTCACCTCCTTAGCCTACAGGGTATCCCCGCCCCTCTCTCCCGCCACCTCCTTCTCCACTGCCTACTCTCCTGATTTAACCAGAGACGAGAAGAGAAAACACAGGACCCTCGAACCTATATCCATTTTGTTCTTCTGTGCTTTTGTTTCTAACTAGTCTCAGAGAAAAAAATGGGATAAAAAGAACCCAGATTTGATCCCCACCCCATGTCCTTTGGGTTGCAGGCCAGTGCCCAGCAGGGGATGCATGAGAAGCAACCACACATTTATGTTTCTCTCCCTCTGTCCTTCCCTTCCCCTCTAAAGATAAATAAATAAAATCTTTAAAAAATAGTCTTGCACAAATTATTGATCCAAAATCTATATTCCATTGTAATATGAATTGTTTTCCCACACAACACTTCAGTGGTTTATAACAGATCTATATCAGTTAGTAGATGCTGATCTACTACACCCTTGAAAACCCTAACCTCTGAGAGGGAAGTAAAAATAAATATTCATGTCCTTCATTTTACTAGGAGTTAGCTACCATGGGAGAAAGATGGCTGGTAACAAATTTGTACAGGTCAATTAATTTTTTAAATCTATTTACAAGGCTGAGTAAATTCAAATTAAGTATTTCATCCAAGGAGTTCAAAATGTTCCATACTTAATGTTTGGTAACAAGCATTTTTTATTCCAGTTCATAAAATAAGCAAGTTCAGGCAGAATTGTAGTTATGCCACTTAACTTCCTATCACAAGTCTGTTGAAGGCTTGAAATGAAATCACCATCTCAATCACAAGGCTGTTGCTCTTTACAAGTACATTTTGAGGCTGAAAGGCAAAACCTTATAGTAAGTAATCATAAGTGAATATAAAGAAATTAGGTCAAACTTGTGTTAATTGAGTAGCAATACCAAGACACATTGACAAGTGTCTAAAGTGTTTAAAAATCTGTTTAATAATTTAAACATTGTATTTCTCCTACCCTCTCCTTTTCCCTACATGTGTATGTATCCACATAACATAAGAAATCTAAATTAATGACTTATTCTAAAAGTATGAAAAATGTAGCATTCAAAGTAAATGTACCATAATCTACACACTAAAGCAAAATATATCCTTTTCTTTCATTTCCATGTTAATCTTGTAACTTCCGTGTGTAGAAACCATTTATGTCCCTGATTTTCATGGTGTTCATAATAATGTTGCAATCATGATTAATGATGCCTATGTTATTTTAAAAATAATTTTTCATGATAGGCCCCAAGATGGTTCATTTTGTGTCAACTTGACTGGGCCACCATCAGGTGTCCAGATGTGTGGCCAAATATCATTACGAATG